CTCCTAGTATAACCTATTACACAGACCTTTGCTTTGCAAGTTCCGCCACGGACACTTGACTCTATGATAGGACACTTCCTACCAGACCTAAGACACTTCTCAGGACCCTTTTTCTCCCTTTACCCAGGAAACTTCCTAGGTGACCCAAGACACTTCTCAGGTTCCTTTCACTCACTGTGCACTCACAGCTACCACTCGAATTTTACCAGATTTCAAACTCATACACAAGCGTGAATTTAAGAGAATTCACAATCTCACCCCAAAATACAAAACACTCAAAACCCTTTTCCCATTACAAGATCTCATCGAATATCCCTAAATACATATCTATGAATAAAGAGATAAAACTAATATGTTGAACACTCAAGATCTGTCTGGAACTCACTAGACGTATTGTAACCAAAAACCTGATAGGAACTTTGACCAGGAGGACTGACTTAGCTTCGTGGTGAAGGATAAAACCATTAAGCACGACCACTACACTTCGTCAGCCTCAACTTTGAATGAATGCATATGAGCATATTTATAGTACACTCGAATTATTCATTTCATCTTGAAAAAGATAGATTTTCTGAAAAGATAAGTTTAAAAGATATTTTCTAAAAATCAGTTTTCCGAAAATATATCTTTTTGTTAAGAATAAAAACTGTCAATAATAATAAGATAAACTTAGCATAAAATCAGATTTTATTCAAAACTTATCTTTTTGTTTAAAATACTTTTTAAACAATCTTATCTTTTTCCAAAAGGGATTTATTAGAAGATAAATATCTTTATTCAGTAAAACCAAATCCCTAAAAGATATGCACGTATAAGGTAAATATATATATCATTAAAACCGACTTTTAACGACGTTCATACTTAAGTTCCTATTAGGTTCCTGAACTCTGACAGTCTCTGAGTTCCTGACAAGTCAGTTACTCTAATTTCATTGACTGTTTGGAATTCACCTTGGTTCTATATAGACTTGTTCCAGACCGACTTTTATGTCCAACATACTTACATGAATCCTAGAGCAATATACTTCTATTTCTCTGTCTTCATGTTGCTTCTCTGAAACTCTTGTTCTGGAATCCTGTAGTCTTGATATATTCTGGATCTTAGGGTTTTCCCCAGCATTACACCGAAACCAGGTCGTTACAACCCGTTTTGAAGTTCTTGTTAAGAAACTTCTGGAAGTTCCATTTCTGGAACTCTTCTTCTAAATTTACTTGTATCCTCATGGATCCTCTAAAGTTCCTCTGTTTCAATTCCTACTTCAGCCCTCAACGCTTACTGAACCTGCAAACATCACAACACTAGAAAATCCTTATTAAATGGAAGTTTGCTCAATTCTTAACATCATCATCAAAACCTCATAAGGATCAACAAGTTGTCCCTTTTTTATGATGACGAACTGAGCAAACTTCTGAGAATAACAAAGTAAAACAGAAGGTTAGTTTTTTATTTATAAAAACAATAAAGAAAACTAAACTAAATTAAAAGACTCCTACACATACATAACCTATATATGTATAGGATACTTACCTTATGAAGCTAACATATGTAAACACATGTTTACATAGTTACCTTCATGGTCCCTTAGCCATCATCATGCTTATCAACCATAACACTTATCGTTGTTCTTGTTCCTCTATTGCTTATCCTATATTGCTCAAGTTCCTTACATATATACCTGTCATTACTCAGGTTCCTTGTATCCTGTTCCAAGCATAATTTGCTTTTTCTATGCACAACTTAACATACACGTTAGATAGATAATCATCATTAGTTTATAATCATCAAAACCTAATTGCTCAACAGGTTGATTGATCGGATTCCTTGGAGGTGGTGGAGGGTATTGTGGTGTCTCCGGAACAACTTCTTCTTGGCTCACATCGTACTCAGAGTTGCTCCCTTCAGTAACGGGAGGAGTTTGTTGCTCAGTATAAGTGTTTTCATTAAGAATGTGTGGAGGTATTTGTTGATGAACAGAATTTTGCGAAGACGGGTTTCCTAATCTTTGTAGGATTAATTGAAAATTGGGACTATTGATGAAATCATCACCTAAATCAGAAAATTGTTGAGCAAGTTGATAATAATTAGGATTGTTGGGATCCATTAGATTGTATAAATTTTTTTTTGAGGCAATTAGATTGTATAATAATATTTTTTTTGTTTTTGACAAGGATTGTATAATAAATTAAATAACAACAATAATAAATAATTAAAAAACACCGATATTATAATTACAATATCGTTAATAACGTTTTAAAAAATATTAGAGTACTTAAAAAGTAATTAAAAATAATTAAAAAAAATAACCTTTTTGAACTTTATATTAAAAAATATAAAAATAATATTACTAGAATTGGGAGTAAAAATAATATATAGTGTTTTTGTGATTTTTGAAAGTGTACCAAAATATGTCAAAATGGATCTCTATTTATAGAGGAAAAAAATTATAGCCGTTTATGAATTTTTTTATTTTTTTTAATTTAAAAATTGGCCAAAATAGCCGTTTAAGTTAAGTACCGTTTTAAAACGGTCAAATTTTCTCATTGGGTAAGGATGCTAACAGGGACACGTGTCAGCCTCTTGATGGCTCGACTGACGCGCCCTGTCAGTAAGTGGGAATTAGCTTGTTTTTGCTTCCCAGACTTTACAAAGATACGTTTTGGGTATGGTCCCTTTTGTGGGCTTCCCAAAACGAGGCGTATTGCGTGTGTTTAAAGCAAAATAATTTCGCCAGTTTGGAGAGTTGATGGGCCCCACATATTTACTGTTCATCCTCAAATTTGCTCATAGGATGAGCAAAATCAATTATGCTCATGAGCATTTTTCCATTTGCTCATTGATGGGGAAGCTATTTTTACAATTTTGCTCACCATTTTTGCTCATGAGCAAAATTCTCCTCACTGATGGGAGTGCTCTAAGGCACGGCGACTAGTTCTCTTAAGAACAAATTTACAACCTCCGTTAATTATTATGTGCAACAAAGGAATATTTTATGTCTCACAAATAATACCCCTTTATTACACATAATAATTAACGGAGGTAGTACTTCTCCTTAAGTATTGTGTTTTATGGGAAAATTTGCAAATTGCAGCCATTTAAAGTTCGTATTTTGCAAATTGCAGCCATTTAAATTTTTTTTTGCAAATTGCAGCCCAAAATTTCGTATAAATTGTAAATTGCACCCCGATTCAATTTTTTCATCGGTTTACATGTTGAAAAATCTTCGGTTAAGGTTTTAGGGGTCATTTTAGCCCTTAGGGGCCCGAATTGAGCTTGGAATCAGCAAAAATAACGTAAGTGTCTCATATTTACAGTTTCCCACAAATCGATACATTTTTGTTACGCAAAACGAAATACTTACGTTATTTTTTTGCTAATTCCGAACTCAATTCGGGCCCCTAAGAGCTACAATGACCCCTTAAACCTTAGCTGAAGATTTTTCAACATGTAAACCGCTGAAAAAATTAAATCGGGCTACAATTTACAATTTATACGAACTTTTGGGCTGCAATTTGCAAAAAAAAAATTAAATGGCTGCAATTTGCAAAATACGAACTTTAAATGGCTGCAATTTGCAAAAATCACTTAGCAGGATAGTTTACTGTTTTTATAAGATCAAATTAAGGATTGAACATATTTACTTGTGCCTTGGGGCTTGGGCTGAGGTCCCTTTTTTTAAAAAAAAAACTTTTCGGATGTTTTGGGCGAAAGGAATTGGGCCTTGAGGTACAACAATGTGATGCATGCTTTGCTTAGGAACTTGGAGACTTTTTTATGAAACTGCATGAGTAGTTCACTATCTCACTAGTCATATAGTTCTTCGACTTGCAGACTTGAGCTGATCAAAATGGCTTGATTAGGCTCTTTGTAAGCTAGTCGAGAATATGTTTTATACTCTTATCACATGAGAGGCTATTGGGCTTGAAGTGTAGATGTAGCATGGGATCTCCGCATACCATGCGCAAAATATTCTACTTGAAAGTAGGGGGTGGATGAGATTTGAAACCTTGACTTTTTTGTCACGCTGGTTCTGATACCATATTAAAGGTTCATCTCAACCAAAAGCTTAAACTGATGGTTGAGGACTTAAGGCGTAGGAATATGTTTTATACTACTGACCCCTAAAGAAGCATTGGAGTAACCGAGTAACTCTATTGTGGTATTGTACATTCATGCTTGTAGCATACATATGGTGTGGAATCGTTATTCGAGGGCTGGCTAGTTGTTTAGTCCATGACCTCCATGTTATTAGACTAGAATGTGTAGAATGCTATGTGATACAACAAAATAAGTACCTAATTGTCCAACTAGGTTGTATAAGAACACAGTTTGATATGCTTCAATTAATGAATTTTGTTTTCTGATGATTACGGTGAAATTGTATAACATTTGTCACTTCCACCGGTGACACTGCATTGCAGACTTTGCAGTATGCTTGCCAGGATGCAATTAGAGGAATTGTTCAAGACTATGAAGAAGCGCTCAAAGCAATATAGTAGCACAAAGACAGCCACCGAGAAAGTTGTTGAGGCTTGAAGAGGATGCATCCATTGCAGAGGTAGAAGATGGTGATAAATTATTGCATGTTATGTTACTCGAACTCTTCATTTTGTTTAAATATAAATCTTATGGTCTGATTTGATATGACATCTTGATTACACTAACCTTATCCGTATTTGTGAGCTAACATATGAGATATATATATACACACCAAAAAAAAAAAATCATTTGGGATCAAAGTTAAGTTGGTATGACAACTTGATTTCACTAATTTTATCCTTATTTGTGTACATAAAATTGAGAGAAGAAGAAGAAAAAAAAAAAAACAATTACTCCGTATCATTTTGTTACATTTGCTTAATGTGCATGTTTTTCATATACTTGTACTTAACAATTGACAAAGTAAGTAAGTAACCCAACGCAATCTGAATCATATAGTGTTAACCTGAAAACGACGATGACCTAATTAACATCCAATTGGCCCTGACCGGCTAAGAGCATAGGAGGGACCGAGGGAGTACAAGTTAGTAGTTACTTTTGCACGATAGGTCGCCGTTTAAAGCCCTTGTTCATAAATAAACAATTAAAATATCAATCACAGTTCATCAAGCTCCGAAAAAGAATATCCAATTTCATTCTATACAAAATTAAATTGTGATAATTCCCATTTATAGGAATTTCACAGAAGCATCACCACCCAATCAGGCAATCAGCAAGAACTCAGAAGCCGCACCCGCTATCACCGACACATAGGTAAAGAATTGTACTCTGAAAACCCTTCTTTCTCTCTCTTCTTGTTGCTAAATTTTGCTTGAATCTGTAGAAACCCAGATTTAAAATCTTGATTATAATGTAATTTTATGTAATTCCCACAAAATTTGGAAGTGAAAGTAAAATCTGGGTCTTTGAGACATAATGTCGAACAGGTAATGTGCACATTGTATTAGATGTTTTAGATCAATGGGGTCTGATCTATTCTCCAAAAGGGTAGGTTTTTGTCATCATGATTTCTCTATTCTTTTCTATGATCTGCTAGTAATATGAATTATTGTTTTTTGGGTGGATTGATGAAATTAGATTACTTAAATGGTTGAGTAGTCTGAATGCAGATCAAATGTGATGAAATGTAGTGATTTGAAATATAATTGTTTGGGTAGATTGATGAAACTATCAAATGGGATGAATAGAAGTCAATATTGAATGCAAAATTGCTGTCAAATGGGATGAATAGAAGTGAATATTGAATGCAAACATGTTGTTTATTAGTATTGTAATTATTAAGAAGTGGGAAATGAACACTGTGAAATCTTCTTCCATGGTTGCAATTTGCAAACAAAGGTTTTGACTTGGGACCAAAATCTTCATTTTGGGTTGAGATTACAAGATTTTATCATGTAGGTTCTTCGATATCATAGGCGATTTTCATTAGTGTTTGTGCAATTGTTAGTAAAAAGATTTCTTATGACATAACATTATTATTTTTCCCTGTGTTTTAACATCAACTATAGATTACAGTAACATTGATTTGTGCCGCCTGAAAATTGAAATGTCTGGATCTTCCACTGATAAACTGATTGTTGGGTGTCTGCAGATTTGGAAGTTGCCCTTTTATGCATTAAACATTATCTAAATCAGAGTTGAAGCTCTATCTGTGGTTGCTTCGATTCTGCCTCTTCCGTAATCATGGTTGACACCAATGCTGGTAATTTCACGCTTCATCCTTTCCTCCTTGATCTCTCATATTTTCTGTATGATTTGAATGATTTGATCTATATCGTCTTATTATCTTGATTTTGTTTCAGGTTCCTTCTTCTCTGAAAAATCGGCGAAGATTTTTGTAGCAGGTCATCGAGGGTTAGTGGGATCTGCCATAGTTCGCAAGCTGCAATCATTTGGATTCTCCAACCTTGTTCTCCAGACACATTCTGAACTTGACCTTACTGTCCAATCTGCTGTTGATACTTTTTTCGCTTCTGAGAAGCCTAAATATGTTATACTTGCTGCTGCTAAAGTTGGGGGAATCCATGCTAATAACACTTACCCTGCCGATTTCATTGCCATTAACCTTCAGATTCAAACCAATGTCATCCACTCATCTTTCACCCATGGTGTCGAAAAACTCCTCTTTCTTGGCTCCTCCTGCATTTACCCTAAGTTTGCTCCTCAACCAATCACGGAATCTGCACTTTTAACTGGTCCTTTGGAACCCACCAATGAGTGGTATGCCATTGCTAAAATTGCAGGAATCAAGATGTGCCAAGCTTATCGAATTCAACATAATTGGGATGCAGTTTCTGGTATGCCCACTAATTTATATGGCCCTAACGACAATTTCCATCCTGAGAATTCCCATGTTTTGCCTGCGTTGATTCGGAGGTTTCATGAGGCGAAGGTGAGGGGTGATAAGGAGGTGGTTGTGTGGGGAAGTGGGTCTCCTTTGAGGGAGTTCTTGCATGTCGATGATCTTGCTGATGCTGTAGTGTTTATGATGGACAAGTATAGTGGGTTGAGCCACTTGAATGTCGGGAGTGGCAAGGAGGTGAGTATTAAGGAGTTGGCTGAGCTTGTGAAGGAGGTGGTTGGATTTGAAGGGGAGCTTGTTTGGGATAAGACTAAGCCTGATGGAACCCCAAGGAAGCTTATGGACAGCTCAAAGTTGATGGAATTGGGTTGGGAACCCAAAATTTCTCTTAAAGATGGTCTTGTAGATACTTACAAATGGTATCTGGAGAATTACGCTGCCAAGCATTAATGCTTGCATTACTCAGGTGAAGACTGTTCCCCAGCTTGGCAGATATTAGTTGCTTGTTTTGATACTGTTAATTTGTATCCATTACATGATAAAGCTATTTGTAGTACCTTTTTTGTTTAAAATTGTACCATTTCATATCATAAGTATTCTGAAAACCTTAATCTTATAAATGAATTATGTGACCATCCTTTTTTGAGCTAATTGCCATATTGATCAAACTGTTTCATTGAAAAAGGATTCTTTTCTGTTTATGCTTATGTCTTTTCTTTCTCCATTGAATAGATTTTGGCTTGAAGTTTTTTAGTTGATTTTGACTTGTAGTTCACTAAATTTGATGCAAGGTAACCTACTTGTGCAAACTTTTTCTTGTTTGTTGATGTAGAACTATAAATGTTAATGTTGAAATCATTACAAACATGGGGATGCAGATTTATGATTATGATGTTGTGCATTGTAAGGTGCCATAGTAATCGGTTATTTCATCTCATATTAATTAAAGAGTACCTGTTTAAAGGTCTCATGGGTTGGTTATTTGTTAGCTTCATAGTCTTGTTAGATGTTGTGTCAATCCTACTAAGTAATTTAGCTATTTTGGTGCATAGTAGAATTCTCAGGCACGTAGAAGAATATGAGCAAATGGCTAAGTAGTGAAGGCATGGGATGGCACATATATGTAGTAGACTAGTAGTATTAGTGTTGTGTACAAATGAGAACTCATAACCTCTTTTATAGGCTAGTTGTTCCTAATCTTCCTATACAAAGACCTTCTACCTAGAGCCTTTCTAGGCAAAATGATAGACAATCTTGCGAGAATTTTTTTTCAAATTATTACTGTTATTAAAAGGTTACACAAAAGTATCTTCACTAACCCCCAATAACGTCTGTTATGGAATTAAGTTCCTCTAGAGGTTTCCACAAAAACATCTTGAGGAACTACAGAAATGATAATAACACCTGTATCTGATTACCTATTTGGATTCACTATGCCCCAAATTCCGGATAGAAAATGCCACAAAAGCCTAAATTTCAAAACTATGCAAGTATTTGTTCCTAATTTCCTATGTTTCTGCAGTCCATGATAATCAAATGAGTGTTGTTACAGACTTATGGGTGAAATGGCTGCTTAGAGGCAGCTTGGGGTTGCCCGCATGAGCTGAGATTGACATTGATGTCTTTTGTTATAATCTAAAGATTTAGCCTTGAGGTGGTGGCTGCTACCTCATAATTTGATGACAAGATAGTTGCTTCCTAAATTGGTGCATTGTTTCAGGAGTTTATACACTGCAAGTACAGGTAGAGACAGGGACAAGGATTTCTGTGATTAGTTCTTTGATTGATAAACAAGAATTTTTTGGGTAAGGTTGTCTGGATACAATAATGCAGGTACTCTAATGTGAAAATTATTGCTGGTGTCAAGTGACTAGTCTATGAATTTCTGCAGGATAATGGGGATGAGGAATCAATTGTCTACATTTCTGCGTCCTTTCAAGTTATTCTGTTTAATTTTGTGAAGTATATATTTACAAGATTGCAAACGATTGGTAGAATGTCCAAGTTCTCGGTCTTCCCACTTCTTGTTAAGCTAGTTCAGTGTTTCCTAAAAAATGCAGTTTACAGGTGTAACTGGTTTAAGGTGTTGGGGTTGAATTTAAGTTTCATTGTGTACTTCCATGTTTCTACCTGACTGTTTTGTTGAAAAGAAGGCAATGGGAGTGTATCTTTAGACCGAAGAAGGCTCGGCAAAGGCCTTGCCCGATTGCGCCTGCTGTTGGTTTAATTGTTAACTTGCTTTATTTTTGGTTATGTGCTACAGAACAGTACTTACCAGAGTTACCACTTCGTATTTCGTATTACGCGAGTATTTTGGTGATATAGACTGGGCAAAGGATGCCTCCATTTCATAGTGTAGATTCATTTCCTCCCAGAAATAGGCCTGCTTATGCTAACATAATTCAAAAGAATTGAACTGGATCATCCTCCAGGATATCCAAGTGTGATCCTTAAGAGTCTAAGAGATCTGTTTCAATTCTCGACTAATTATTGAATGTACTTCGAGAACGATTAAACTAAACTAAGTCGGACACCCCTTGGAGCTGATCGAATTGGCCCAGGCTGGCTCCATTTAAGGTGGGTGTGGGCTGAGAATGCTTGGTAGTCAGGGAATCTAGCTCAAGAGTCTAGTTTGGCCATAGATTCGTTTGGCTTGGCATGAATAATGCGGATTCAGGCAGAAATTTTAAGGCTGATGCCTGGACCCATAATGAGCCTGGACCATTAAAACAGAAGCTTTAGATTGGGAAATATGGGAAAATTTGAGGCATTATGGCTATATTTAGTTCATCAAGTCATCATGAAGTTTAGAATATCATTTCTAATGTCTATATTGCTTTGGATTCTGCTAATTTTTTACATGAAACATGTTGGAAAATTTTTTACACCCCTTTTTTATTTTTATTTTTATTTTTGAAGTTTTGTAGTTTGACAACCACAAAACTGTTTGATTGACTCTTTGGAAGGTATAACAAGATGCAAGTGAAGTAGACAATTAGTTGGGTTATAAAAGATGCATGTGGAGGAATTTTGAACTTGTTGTATCAAAAAATTACTAAAAGAAAATATAGTAGAGTTAATAGTACGTTTAAAATTTAAATATTATACTGCGTATGTAGTATGTTAGGGTAAAGAAAAATGTAGTAAATTGTTAAAATAAAAGTGTAACACTAAAAAAAATACTACCTAGTACCTACGGATTAACATTATTTTTTTTTTTATTTTTTTTTTTTTTGACAATAGCAACTGATTAACAATTGTAACAATTAAAAGAAATAGGCATTCTTATATGTATACAATTCCACATAAAGTTTTTTTACATAAGGATATTTTTTGGCTCATTCTCATTTTAAGATTTTGAAATTAGCAAAAGGTTAACCAGAGCATATGTAGAACTTTCAATTGAAAAATAGTGGAAATAATTTACTGATAGATGTTTTTTTACTTGTATTAGCAAATTGTACAAGCTCAGTTAACTTTCTAATGAGTTGCCAATCACTCTAATTTCGATTTTTAATATGAAGAATAGAATAATGGGTTATTCGTGATAAATAATGGATTATTCTTATATATTAAGTCTGATTCCAAGCAAATTCAAGTGATTTTTAGGGAATACTGCCATTGAATAGTCTCAATACTTATTTTGTCAAAACTTATCTGGCTTTATTTTGTCTAGAAAAGAGACATATTTGTTGAACCATAAAACCCCTTTATAAATCAAATTAAAGGCCTATTTAATTCAGCTTATATTCAATTCAGTTTAGCTGCATCAGTTCATTTTAGCTCTTAATTTCCTTCTCTCATAAAGTATTCATTTCAGCCCTATTCAGTTCAGTTCAATTCAATAAATATTAACAAGCCCTAAGCCAATATCAGATCTATTGTCAATTAATTTATTACGTAAAAAATAATTTTTAAGCCATGTTAGGTTACGACTTACAAGAAGGTTTAATAACTTGTTTATTTGTTAAAAGCATTATACTCCTTAATAAAAACAACTTATGATACCTACATTAACCTTAAAGTATGATAAAGGTGGTCTAACCCTAGCAATTAGGAGTAATATACTAGTCATAGCATATAATTTTATACCCTATATAAATTAGGATTTAGGAGTGATCTCTAACTTAAAAAATAAATTAATCATGAGATTATGATAAACTAAAGGGGAGTACTACTGTACTAGACTACTATAGTGTCCATTGTCCAACATCAAAACAAATATCGAGCCAAGTGAGACACTTGAAAGGACCCCACTAAAAATAAAAATTGAACAGTAGCACTATCACTAAAGATTTTTAAGTAAGTGCCAAAATACTTGTAATTATTTTGACATCAAAGGAAGAAGGAAAGAAAGATAGGTTTCACGTGCACAGAAAAAACCGAAATATAGGAGCAACCCAATGTCCAACAGTTCCTGCTTTGTGCTTTGATTTGATAGGACACTTCTATGGCTGCTCCCTCCACATTTTTTCTTGTCCTTCTTTTTGTTCTTATTTTCATGCCTAATTCTGTACAGACGTAAACGGAATTTGATCTCATGTCTTTCGGTAAAAATCAGTTAGAGTACGAATTAAGGGTCATGATTTACTAAACTGAACTGATTAAAGCTGAACTGAAATAGTTGGAGCTGAACTGAGCTGAAATTAAGCTAAAGAGAATAGGTCATAATCTTGTTTTTGTGTCTTGCTAATTGTATTATTACTCTATAAGTAATACTATACTCCGTATATACTTAAAATTGCTCTACATTGGGTTCCGACTTACGGAGTACTGTATGAGGGAGTAGAGTATATACGGAGTATAGTAAAATTTGGAACCCAATGTAGAGTAATTTTTAAAATTAAATAGAAATTGCATGTGGTCTAATTGGAAAAGACTCTCCTCTCTGATATTATATTTTTTTTAACCATTTACTGACTAGTGACGAGTCATTGCCATCAATGTACGGAGTACTATTGCTACCAAATTTCAAAGACATTATGAGAAACCAATCAATGCAACATACATAAAAGCCAAAGGTTATAAATTATTTTTAAAAATAATTAGGAAAAATATCTAACAATGTGCATAATAATAATAATAATACGATCGGGTTCGCTATAACTAGAGAGGTGGGGCTCAAATTGTATCTCGGCTCCCTACTAATTTTTTGTAAATTGATTGGATTTATAGGTTTTAATGATAATCATAATAATAATAATAATGGCAATTAAAAGAAAAAATGTATAACCGAATATTACTTAAACAATGTGCATATGTAAGATGTAACAATATAAATGTAACTAGTTCCAATGAACAAGAAAAGATACAAGAATGGTAAAAAAGACTAAAAGCCAAATAGAAAAATGACAATGGTTTTTTAGACTATGCTGCTCCACTGCTCAGAACATTGGACTCTGAATCCAACATTTTGAATCAACCATTTTTCAAACATACCTTTTTAAACCATACTTAATTAATTTTAATTAATAATTCAATTTTTAATAATGAGATATTAAGAGTGTATGACCGATACATAAAACGTTAATGTTAATAACACTGATCGCCGTATGATTGTCATAGATTTCTCTACAAGAGATATGGTGTAATCCCTTTGGTTGTGAATAACTAAAGTACTAAACCGTATTGTAATTAAGAAAATGGGTAATACTAATTTGCTAAATGAAGCTCAAATTAAGTGCA